CCCCCGTGAGGGGGAACACTAAGCAGTCGTTAGAAAGGAAATTAAAAGTATCCAGGAGGACTTCTTCTCTGGACATATGTGCAAAGGCCAGGACATGTATTTTGTGAAAGCAAGAAGCAGAAGAGTGTATTGTTCATGCTACCTTCTGGGTAAGAGATCCGTACTTAAAGTCTGTTCCAAAGAAAGGTGATCCATCAATAATACAGAAATTATCAAACAGTATCATTAATATCACACACGAGTAAAATTTGTTGAAGATATTCAAAAATATTCAAAAGTGATTGCAGCAGTATATTGACAAGGAACTGCCAGAAATTCAAGCCGGATTCAGAAGAGGACGTGGAATGGGGGTGTCATTGCTGATGTCAGATGGATTCTGGCTGAAAGCAGAGAATACTGGAAAGATGTTTACCTGTGTTTTATTGACTATGCAAAGGCATTCGACTCTGTCAGTCATAACAAGTTATGGATAACATTATGCATAATGGGAGTTCCAGAACACTTAATTGTGTTCATAAGGAACCTGTACATATACCAAGAGGCTGTTGTTCAAATAAAGTGATACTACATGGTTTAAAATCAGGAAGAGTGTGCGTCAGGGTTGTATTGTTTCACCATACTTACTGAATCTGTATGCTGAGCAAATAATCCGAGAACTTGGTTTATATGAAGAAGGACGTGGCATCAGAATTGGAGGAAGACTCATTAAACAACCTGCGATATGCAGATGACATAACCTTGCTTGCTGAAAGTAAAGAGGAGTTGAAGCAGTTATTGATGAATATCAAAGACTATAACCTTCGGGATGGATTACACCTCAATATAAAGAAAAAAATCCTCACAACTGGACCAATAAGCAACATGATAAACGGAGAAAAGATGGAAGCTGTCAAGGATTTCATTTTACTTGGATCCACAATCAACACCCATGGAAGTAGCAGTCAAGAAATCAAAAACGCATTGCATTGGGCAAATCTACTGCAAAAGACTTCTTTAAAGTGTTAAAGATTTCACTCTAAGGACTAAGGTGCACCTGACCCAAGCCATGGTATGTTCCTTTTTTGCGGCGGGGGGGAGGATTTAATCATATTTTATTGTGTTTTCGGTGAAAGTTTACACAGCAGTTTAGATTCCCATTCAACAATTTCTATACAAGTTATTCAATAACATTGGTTACATTCTTCATAGTGGGTGAACATTCTCTTTATTTCCCTTTTGGTTGTTTATTTTTTTTACTGTGCTTCCTGTGAAAGTTTACAGCTCAAGTTAATTTCTCATACAAAAATTTATACACATATTGTTTTGTGACATTACTTGCAATCCCCACAATGTGACAGCACGCTCCCCCTTTCTACCCTCATTTCCTTTTGTCCATTCAACCAGTTCCTGTCACTTCTGCCTTCTCATCCTGCCTCGGAACAGGAGCCGTCCATTTGGTGTCTTGTATCTGATTGAACTAAGGAGCGCATTCCTCATGAGTATTATTTTCTGTTTTATATTACTTTTTAATCATTGTCTGAACAGTAGGCTTCGAGAATGGTATCACTTTTGGGTTAACAGAGCATCCGGGAGCCATAGTTTCGTGGGTTCCTCCAGTCTATGTCAAACCATTAAGTCTGGTCTTTTTACGTGAATTTGAGTTCTGCTCCACACTTTTCTCCCGCTCTTTCTGGGACTGTCAATTAATAGTATTCCCTGTCAGGGTGGTCATTGGTAGTAGCCAGGCACTATCTAATTCTGATCACAGCAAGCTATGGTATGTTCAGTCGCCTCATATGCATGCAGAAGCTGGATGATGAGTAAGGAAGACTGAAGAAGAATTGATTCCTCGAATTATCGTGTTGGCAAGGATTATTGAATATACCATGGACTGCCAGAAGAATGAACAAATCTGTCTTGGAAGAAGTACAGCCAGAGTGCTCCTTAGAAGTAAGGGTGGCGAGACTTCGTTTCACATACTTTGGACATGTTATCAGGAGGGATCAGTCCCTGGAGAAGGACATCATGCTTGGTAAAGTAAAGGGTCAGCAAAAAAAGAGGAAGACCCTCAATGAGATGGATTGACACCGTGGCTGTAACAGTGGGCTCAAGCATAACAACAGTGGTGAGGATGGCGGAGAACTGGACAGTGTTTCATTCCTGCTGCCACAATGCCCTACTCTTTCTCTGGGCCCTGACTCCTGGGGGCCTACCCAAGAAGCTGTGGAGGTGGCTAAGGTGGATGGGTGGACGCTCTGGAGGGATACAGTTTATTTCTTGGGAACACAGCTAAACTGAAGCACTAAGGTTGCATATATGGATGGCTTTAGGTTCTCCACACATAGGGTATCTGGTGTGGAGTCATTCCTCCTCCTCAGCAGGGAAGGAAGCCTAAGGTCCCTCTGCAGAGGCAAGTGCTTGCGAGATTTAGCACAAGATATAGGAGCTGAAGTAACAAAAGTGGACAAAATGACTAGGCGCCATGCTGTAGGAAGAATGGATACTGGTTTCCTTTTCTTTTTTGGTACCAAAGGGTGGAGGGAGAGGTATGGGGGGCGGGGGGAATGAGCGCACACGTATTTCTGTAGCAACTGCCATCAAGTGGAAACTGTTTTAGAAGCACACGGACCCAGCATGTTGTTTCTGGTTGACTTGTGGGATTCGAGAAAGACAGGGTCTCAGGCATGAATAAACATAGACTCACACATCCAGATGCTCATGACTCTTTGAGCAACTTTACCCCGATCTGGGGGCCTACCTAAGAAGCTGTGGAGCTGGGTCCGGAGGAGGCCAACAGCCATGGTGTCAGGCATGTCTGTCACAGGAAGCCAAGGCTCAGCCTTTGGTAGCCACTGTGTCTGTGAGGGACTAGTGCAAGCCACTGAGAAGGCACCTCAGTACTGGGGCTGGGAGCAGTTTGCCTCATACCCGTGGCCCCCGGAGCAGAAGGTGGGTCAACCTCCCTTGGCTGCAGCCAGCTTCAGTTAAAGACGGCACCAAGCACCAAAGGGCACAGCACTGCTCTTGGGGCTGTAGAGGGGAACATGTATCTTGACTCCGTTCAACTCAGGGATGAGACCTGGAGCCTGTCCAACCAGCCATGGCCACTGGTCATTACTTCTGACACCACAATGCCCTAACTTGTCTCTCTTGCCCTGTATGAGGTAACTAAGTGAATCCATAAAAGCCAAAGATCCAAGGATAAGAGAGAAATCAAGATACTCCTCTTCACTTAAGAAACAAGTAAAACCTAAAGTCCTACCCAAGAAGACTTGTATATCTACACTTGAACAAAAATCTGGGCATTTATCAAAAGCAGTATTGACTGAGGGTCTTATAGAAGTAGATGTAGCAATAGATAACAATAAATGTTCGTGTATACATATATTCATACTGATACTCATGTATACAATTTTACACATATCTATCTGATACTCGTATGTATGTATGTGCATATATATTCCTAGGACAATCGTGAAAGAAAGAAAATATTTCCCCCAATACGTCAGTGCTGTAAACCCCGCTTGGAAGCTATAGATGGCATCTTGGTCTGGCTTGGATTTTCTAGTCGGAACAATGGAGGGAGAGGAAAGGAGGAAAAGGTGACTGGCATTTGTGAATCAACAGTCCCTTTAAGTAGATGTTTTTGTGCATGGTCTCAAGCCTTTCTAGGTGTATATTGTGGATAAGGCCTGTGATAAGAGGAAGGCTAGATTGGGAGGTACTTAGAGGATCCTAGCACTTCACAGGGCTGCCTGCAGAGCTGGTGTGAAAGCAGCAAGGCCAGGTTTCCAACAAACAGTTACAAGGCTGCCAGGCCTGCCGGGCTCAGGGAACAGTGAAGCCTTGACATTGGTAGCTGCCATGTTTGGGAGAAATGGGAAATGTTGTATTCCTTGTGAACTCTGAATGCCAAAGGAAAATGTACTCGAGAAAAAAAAAATTTTTCAAGAAAGTTGGTAAGGTGAGAATCACAAATTATAGCTACCAGATAATCTCCATCTTGGATCACAAGTTAAATCCATTTCTGGTTTCTTTCTGAATCTTTTTCCGTATTTAACTGACCCATCAGCATGCATTCTTTCAAATATCAAAGATTTAAACCAAGTTCCTAAAGGAACTGTGTAGCTACAGTCTCCATTTCTGCAGAACATACTAAACTGCCTAGGTTTCCACTTTGTGCATAAAGACAACATCTAATGATATTACCAGTCTAGTGATCATTACTGCTGAGTTGAAACTAGAGCACCCTCCATACCCAGAGAAGTACACAAACATCTCTCCTATCTAGACATGCTCCCATGGGAGTGTGCATTGTTAGCATTGGAATCAGTAATCATGTTTAGGTTTTGGATCACTTTCTAACCCTATTGAAAGCACCAAGAGAAAGATTTAATCTGTTTCTCACTATTAGGAGTGTCGGGAGAAGAAGAGGAAGGGAGAGGAACAGGCTTAGAAGTGATCCTAGTACAATAATAATGAATGCTTTTTTAAATGGGATGAGGTTCTGTGCACAGCGGCACCTCCATAGCAGTTAAAGATAAACATAACAAAAGTATGGATGTGTATGTTTTTGTGTGTGTGAATGTATATATGTGTGTCGTGAGTGTGCAATGCAGCAAAATTTCATATAGAGCTTTACAGTAGAGACTAAAACAAAGGGCCCTCTAGGAGGTCGTCTGCCTGTGTGGCACCATTGGGGTCTCCTTCTGACCTATGGACTTCCAATGAGGGGCGCCAAATGGGCAGTGTCTACTTGGGATTCCTGAAGGTGTCACAAGGCATTGACCTCACTGTCTTCTGACGTGTACTTGGCACACATGAAAAAGCTTTGCAGCAAGTACTTTCAGATTTCAGAGGAATTCTGTAAGATTCAGTCCATTGAAATACCTCTGAATTATTACATTTTCCAAAAGTAGAACAGAGTTGTAATTCATCACTATTCAGAAATTGTTGTTATTCTTACAGCTGATCTAGTAGCATTTAAAAACAAGTAAGCAGCAAATTTTTCTATATTTCAGCCAAGCGAATATCTGTTGCCTGGGTGGAGTATACACGGCTACCTTTGACTATCACTCTGACAAACCAAAATGGAGTCCTGGGAGCTCTGGACCTTGCAGGACTCTGTCCTTTGCCCTTTTCCGAGACCCTGACTTTCCTCAAATCCGGCCTGGGTGTCTGTGCATCTGTTTGCTGAGGAAGTTGGTCTGGAAAGCAAGACAGGAGAGAGAACCGCGCTCATCTCTCGGTGGTGGACTTACGGGTGAGTGTTGTTTTTTTGTTTGTTCACTTTAAAAACCAGGATGTACATGACTATTAATTTTGAAGATATACAGTAATTTCTAGTATTTGAACAAACCATAGGAAGGGAGATTTCCAACAGTGATCCATTCATGTAGCAGAGCCACACTGATAGACTAGTTCTTTTATATCGTTAGAGTATTAAGTAGCTTTCCAGCATGGTAGAGAAGTATCTTTAGTGACATCTTGATTGTGTAACTCCACATTAGAAAAGCATCGAGGGGCATGGAGATGATCTTAGTACACCTTAAGGTGAGAAGCCGAGGATGAGAAGTCACTGTCCTTCATTGCAAGAGAGAGAAGAAAACCATTGTAGCCTGGAGCCCTTTGATGCCGTCTGACTAAGAGAGGATCATTTGGCTACCCACCTTTCTAGTGGGAAGGAGCAGTCTTAGCCTCCAATGGGAAGAGACTGTTGGGAACCCATTGAAGAGAACCAGTTCTTGAAGGCCTTTGCCTTCACCTGTGAGTTGAGCCCTTCTACCTGTTCCTCCCATGATTTTTTTTATCCCTCGTAGGTAGAGCACAGTGAGCCATGGCCAGTAAGGACATGATAACAAGCTCTTGCCGGAATATTATGAGGGTGCGGGGCAATTGGAACACACCCAGCCACTACCTGGGAGAAAGACATGTCTGTCTGCTCCCCTAAGGAGTATAGTCTAAGAATCCCTATGAGGCAGTTCTACTGTCACATTGAGTCGCTATGAGGCAAAATTGACTGGGTGGTACCTAGCAAGGACAACATTTTATATTGTTCTCTAAGGTGTGATTCTTTGCAGTACACCTGAATTTAAGGTGTGTACTTTCCAAAAGAGGAACAAAATTGAAATTCATTTTCAAACTGGCTTTTTAGTGAAATGTAAGAAATCTCAAGTTGGAATGCTCCCCAGTGGACAGTGGGGGGATGGGTGGGTAAACTATATGCAGGCACTCACTCTATTTCTTGAGGTCTTAACCAAGCTGGATCACTAAGGATGCAGATATGGATGGCTTTAATTCTGTCCACCCACAGGAAGCCTGAGTAGGGAGAAATCTCACCTCCTGGAACAGAAGGAAACCTAATGTACTGCCCCCCAACAAAAAGGCAAGAAATTTGAAGATTCAGCAGAAGATGTGGGAGCTCCCTCCCCAAAAGTAGACAAGATGGTAACCTGCCATGCTTTAGGGAGGCCAGACACCATTTTTTTGTATAGCAGAGGGAGGAGGGAGAGGTCCTGGCAAAAAGGTGAGGTGTTATTTCTGGTACAATACTGCCATCAAGCTGAAATTGTTTGCCAAGCCCGAGAAATGCAAGGTTTCTTCCTGGGGAGGCCTGGGTTTTGAGGAAAATCAGGATCTTGAAAAAGGACTAAGGACAGAGTCCTGCAATGTCCAGAACTCCCAAGGCATGGGGCAAGTGCACACCACAGTGGAAGCCTGCCCAGGAATCTGTGGCATTAGGGGTCAAGACGAGGCAGATAGCTGGGGTGCCAGACAGGTCAGGCACAGGAAGCAAAGGCTAGGCCTTGGTGGCTGCCACTTGTGGGCAGGACTGGCACAAGCTCCAGTGGAGCTTCACTTCATTTTTTCTGTCTGTGATTTCAGTTACCATTTGGAATTAGGACAGAATACATATTTCCATTTTCTCCCAAACATGCCTACCACAGAGGCCACCCACTAGGTCTCTGTGAGCCTGGTAGGAATGGTGTCCTAGGCTTCTTTTTCTGGGATCTTTGCCCTGGCGCTTTCATACCTGCTCTAGCAGTGGCCTGCCTCTCGGTGTCCACTCCCCCCGCCCCCAGTGCACCCATGTTCATATCACAGGCCTCATCTACAAGATACACCATAACAACAAGTTGCTCTTGATTCAATTCCAACTTGTGGTGACACCCGATGTTACAGAGTAGAACTGCTCCACAGGTTTTGTTTGCCTGTAGTCTTTAAGTAAGCAGATGGCCAGGCTTTTCTTCTGAACCATCACTGCATAGGTTCAGACCATGAACCTTTAGGTTAGTTGACAAATGCAAACTGATTGTGCCCACCCAGAGGAAATAAATACACATAGACACACTTAACATGAATACCAGTATGATAATATGTATACATGTATGTTTATATTTAACTATGGCTACATATATTTCTATGACTCCTATGTCAGAATTGCATGCTAACAGATACCTAGATTTTTATTCATGTAGATAGATAGGTTTTCTTGGTTAGGATTTTAGCTTTCACAAGAAATTGACTCTTGGCTTAAATAGAGATGAGTACCGTGATTTCCTCTCTTACCACTGCATTCTGGCTTTCTGAATTTATGGGCCAACTCATCCAGGCCAAGGACTCAGGAGCCCAGCCCCAGATTGAGAGTAGGCCATTGCGGCAGCAGCAGGACTTCTTACCAGTGGCCATGGCAGGTCAGAAGACAGTGAGGTCTATAACCTGGCTCACCTTCAGGAATCCCTGTCAGATATAGCCCATTTGGTGCCCCGGGTTAGAGGTCCATGAATCGGAAGGAGAACCAGCGGTATCACACAAATGGGTGACATCCACCGGGGACATTTGTTTTTCAGTCTGCTGGAAAGGTCTGCATTGTTTGACTGCATAATACACTAACACACACACACATACACACAATGACATACACGGTTTAACTGGCATGGAGAGCTAAAGAGTTAGATCCTCTGTGGATAGATCCTCCTCCCATTGAAGGAAATCATCCATTGCCAGGGTTCTAGGCCCACTTCCAAGCCTGTTTTTCTCCCTTCCACCCCTCATTCTAATACTCCTTATAATGAGAACCAGTTGAATCATTTCTTCAGTATGCTTCTGATGCTTAATGAATATGAAAGCAAATAGAGATTCATGTTTGCATTTCTTCTTTTAACTGAACCCAAAGGGTATCACAAGCAGTATACTCTTATGCATTTTGCTGCTTTCACAAAATATATGTCCTGGCCTTTGCACATCTGTGAAGAGAAAACCTCCTGCTAGGTAGTTATCACTTCCTTTCTAACCACTGTTTAGTGTTCCCCTGTGTGGGGGTGGGGAGGAGCATAGGTTATTTATCCTGGGCTTTTCCTTTTTTCTTTTTCTCAAAGATAATAATAACGAATCCATGAAACATCTCACAAGATGGATGAATCTGGAGGACATTACGCTGAGTAAAATAAGTCAATCACAAAAGGACAATATTGTATGAGACACTACTATAAAAAGTTTTTAAAAAAATGTTTTGTCTCAGTCATCTAGTGCTGCTATAGCAGAAATACCACAGGTGGATGGCTTTAGCAAACAAGTTTATACTCTCACAGTCTAGTAGGCTAGAAGTCCATATTCAGGGTGTCAGCTCCAGGGGAAGATTTTCTCTCTCTGTTGGCTCTGGAGGAAGGTCCTTGTCATCAACCTTCCACTGGAGTAGGAGATTCTCAGAGCAGGGACCCTGTGTCCAAAGGAGGTGCTTCTTGGTGGTATGAGGTCCTCTTATCTCTCTGTTCATTTCTGTCTTATATTTCAAAACAGATTGACTCATGACACAATCCAATCATGTAGATTGAGTCCTGCCTTATTAACATAACTGCTGCTAATCCGATCTCATCAACATCATAGAGATAGGATTTACAACACATAGGAAAATCACATCAGATGACAAAATGGTGGACAGTTAGACAATACTGGGAATCATGGCCCAGCCAAGTTGACACATATTTTTGGGGACACAACTCAATCCATGACACTGTTCAAAACACTGCTGTATAGATTTAGTTTTCTGAACTAAATTTGGAGCTTCAGTTGCTTGAAAACATGGACCTGAATGCTGATTGCTTTGCTAAAGTCAATAGGTAGATTTGGGAAGCAGTGAGATGTTACTGTGAAATATATGCAGAAAAGAAAGAAAAGGAACATACAAACAACTCTCACTAATTTTTTGACTAGAAATACCATCGTCATTCCCAGAGATAATCCAGATGATCCACAACTTTCCACAAAAAATTATTACTGCATCTGAAAAAATGCCAATGTCTTCCAACTCTTCTTCATTGTCATATTTTTATGATGTGTGTAATTTTTATGTATGTATATATTAAAATATGTAACTTTATATGTAATATTTCCAACTGCCAAAGACAAATAAAGATGGAACTTGTAGATACTGTTAATAAAAAGTAATAGTCATGAAAATTTAAATGAAAATGGGTACTCAACTTACGTCAGAACCAACTTATAATGGAATCCCCTGAATGGAACCCTGTCATAAGTTAAGGAACACCTATAGAGACAAGATTAGTGGTGGTTAGGGTCTGGGTGGAGGAGGGGGAGGGAATGACTCAGAATTCATTTGGACGGGTTGATATAAGTTAATTTGTCTAAAAAAATTTCAGATATTTCAAACATGTCCTTCAGATGCTTTTCTCAAAGTGTGTCTTTGCTTTCATCTTTACAGAACCAGTTAGCCAGGCCTTTCTTCTGTGGCACTAGGGGGGTGGGTTCCAGCTGCCAATCTTAAGCTTAGTAACTAAGCACAAACTGCTTGCTACACCCAGGGGAGATGATTATATACATACATAATATGGAAACCCTAGTGGCGTGGTGGTTAAGAGCTACGTCTGCTAACCAAAAGGTCAGCAGTTCAAATCCATCAGGTGCTCCTTGGAAACGGTATAGGGCAGTTCTGCTCTGTCCTGTAGGGTCGTCACTATGAGTTGGAATCAACTCAACGGCAACAGGTTTGGTTCTTGAATTTTTATATACGTACATAAATATTAGTATATGTATGGAAACCCTGGTGGCATAGTTTTTAAGAGCTACAGCTGCTAACCAAAAGGTTGGCATTTTGAATCTACCAGGCACTCCCTGGAAACCCTATGGGGCAGTTCTACTCTGTCCTATAGGGTCACTATGAGTTGGAATTGACTTGACGGCAATGAGTTTTTTAGTATAAGTATACATGCGTGTTTGTTTATATCTATGGCTACATTTATTTCTATAAGACTCCTATTGCAGAATTGCATGCTAACAGGTACCCAGATTTTTATTCACATAGATTTGTGTAGTTCTTCTTGGTTACGATTTTAGCTTTTACAAAAAATTGACTCTTGGCTTGAGTAGAGATGAGTACCTTGATTTCCTCTCTTATCATTGCCTCCTTGGCTTTTCTGGACTCATGGGCCAACGCATCGAAGCCAAGGACTGAGGACCCCAGCCCCAGAGAGAGAATAGGCGATTGTGGCAGCAGCAGTTGTTACCAGTGGCCATGGCAGGTCAGAAGACAGTGAGGTCTATAACCTGGCTCACCTTCAGGAATCCCAAGTAGATATTGCCCATTTGGTGCCCAGGTTTGAGGTCCATGATTCAGAAGGAGAGTCCAGTGGTGCCATACACACAGACAGGTGACAATCACCACGGACATTTGTTTTTCAGCCTCTACTGGAGAGTTCTACATTAATGTTTGGCTGCATAATACACTCCCACCCTCACATGCACATACACACATACACACACACACACACACACACATACACAATCACATAGTTTTTTTGCGT